ATTTATAAATGTTACTAATGTATAGGTATAAATATAGGAATATATATATATATATATATATATATATGTATGTATTTGTGTTCATATATATATATATATAAACACAAATACATAAGTAGTGCATAAGTATATAGTATATAAGTATACGTAGAGATTGATGTATATATATATATATATATATATATACGTGTGTGTGTGTGTGTATGTGTGTGTGTGTGTGTACATATGTGTATACATGTGTGTGTGTGTGTGTGTGTGTGTACATATGTGTATACATGTGTGTGTGTGTGTGTGTGTGTGTGTATATATTTGTATACATGTGTGTGTGTGTGTGTGTGTACATATGTGTATACATGTGTGTGTGTGTGTACATATTTGTATACATGTGTGTGTGTGTGTGTGTACATATGTGTATGTGTGTGTGTGTGTGTTTGTATGTTTGTGTGTGTGTGTGTGTATGTGTGTGTACACGTACACGTGTATGTATGTGTGTGTGTGTGTGTATGTGTGTGTACACGTACACGTGTATGTATGTGTGTGTGTGTGTGTTTTCTTTTTTACAATCATAGTGTAACATCACTCCATACGGAATAAAAAGTAAAGTGATACATTCCCAGACGGGTGCACATCATCGCCATAGTGGGCAATGTATATGTGGTCGACAACCGCCATTGTGCTGGTAGAAGTCAGCTGCTCGTTTTAGTTATAGAATAGATACACTTATCTTAGACGCAATCATATGAGCTATACATATACCCCATATGCATACCGCTAGTTGTTTTTTATGTAATATCAAATACTGAAATCCGCCTAACACACCCGGCTTTGGTGACATCAAGGTTTAACCCCATAATAATCCGGGGGCGGGTGTGATTGTAAGTATAGCTACCTTGTAAAGACCTAAACTAACCACGCCAACTATTCACGCGTTGAAGTTCTTTGCTTGGATTCAACCCAGATCTCCGCCCCATAGCCTACCAAATCCCCTTCTCCTCGTTATACTGTCACACCGCCTGCCCCGTTAGAAATAAGCTCTCCGACAGACCGTCGTGTTGACAACTGACACTTTGTACCTGATAGCGACAGACAAACTAAGACTGTAAGCACAATTTACCAACCAGTGGTGTATTCAGTGCCCCCTGCGCCCTGAAGATATTGACTCGCTAGAAGCTGTCGCATCAACATTACATCACACCTACATCACACCTACATCACATCACATTCACTCCCGACTGTTGGAATACCGATCAAACTTGGCAGGGAAGTGTCGATAAGTATTTCCGATATCTTTCCCAGGCTATGTGCATCTTAGTACCTACGCGTGTAGATATATCCCATCTTGGGTCCACCGTCCAACTACATACATACATCTCCACACTCTCTTCCATGGCTTGCAAAGTTGCAGCCTTGCAGGCTGCAGCCCAGTGCCCACCCGCTGGAGGTCAGATGTCACACCCCTACTAGTATGGACAACAAAATAGAGACATAGCCTCTATGAACATAGTGATTTAAAAAAAGAAAATCTCAAGATAGAGAAACTAAAATAACCCTATAACCCCAAATTTCAATTTTGTCCCAAAAAGTATTTAACCGAAAATATATAATCAGTGCCGACTTCCTTACGAAGTGTCTCTCTCTCTCTCTCTCCAAACAGAGACTAATCGTATATTCATTGGCGCTGAATCGAGAGATCAGGTATTGGCACAATCAGCAGGAGTCCCAATTCTTTTGTCCTGTTCTTTTTTCGTGTAGCGAGGTGCGATGCGGCCTTCTGTCGAGTCACTGAGTGCTCAAGCAAAGGGCGAACGTTGCCGAATGTAAGAAACCTTTTTTTAGACCGGTGGTCTTCTTGCAAAAATACACAAAAATGGGTCTTCAACTGTAAATGGTAGTAAGGTACCCTGGTCTAACCCAGTATCCAGAGAGAGACTTTTGGTGTTCGCTTGTTCTGGACTGATATTTATTATTAGTTTGAAAATAAACGAATATTTTACACTGCTTTTTGAACTTGTGATTTGCGAAGGCCCTGTGTATAATAGACAATATGCTCAGCTGACAGCAGGTCTCATAACGTAGAACGTAATTACGTTTAAAATCACTTCGTAAACTATTCAATGCGTAACGTCAAAACGTAGTACGTCTACGCAGTATATGGGTTACGTTATGAGCCCTGGCTGACAGCTTCGCGCCGCCCCGGGGATATTGCTGACTGTGTGTGGATGTGTTTATTTATTTATTGTCTTTCTGCGTGTCGATCATACTCTGGTGGTAAATAGAGAGAGAGAGAGAGTGGGCTCTGGCGTCTGTGCCTGAAGCCCTGAACTCCTGAAGCCCTGAACCTCTGGGGTTAATATAACATATTTCTGATATTTACACTTACGAATAAATCAAGGTCACATACGCAATTACTTGTCATACTTCCACATTGCAGCATACAGTCACTTTGTGTTGTATTCCAAAATGTACCGCACAGCCGTTATCGTTTCCACAGCACGTACACCGTTGGCGAAAGCTTTCCGTGGTGCGTTCAACAATACACACGGTGCTGCCCTGCAGGTAAGAATGCATCTAAGATTCTCTACAGTACCGATAAAATTTGTATAGCTGTGTATCATGCGCTGAAATATTTGTTACGCCAAAGTGTGCAAGTTGTTCATCAGTTGCTGCGCACGCTAGTGTTCAAATATGTTTGAGTCTACAGATATTACTTGTTACACCTAATTATATACGCTGAAACTTTTAGGAATATGATAGTGAAAATGTAGGCTGACGAAGACTGGGGCCGCAGCGTTAGCAGTAGTCAATGATACTGGCATTGTCCAGATGCTCTTTAATATATAGAATCTGCACACGACATACGCATCAGAATAGGTCCACCTGAGTGGGCAGTACTCCATTGTATGCTAGCAGATACTCTATTCCACATTACATATGACAATACCGCGTCAGGCGCATTAAAATCCTTATAAGTACTTCCACCTGGATTAAATAAACCATTAAATGATAACTGTACTCAATTGTATATCTACGGAAACCATCTGACTTCCATAACGGACTTACTGACCTCGTCAACTTTGGTACCGGACTTAATACCAGTATCATGCGAATTGACCCGATATATCATACTATTGGTAGGCACTATTACAACTGCATTGATTTTATCCATTCAGGGACACTGCATCAAGCACGCGGTTGAGAGAGCCGGAGTTAAACCAGAAGATATTGAGGATGTGTTCATTGGCTGCGCAATGGTAAGGGGAACAACTCTTTATGTTATTTGTATCAGATTCGGAGTAGATATTATTATTGGTTTTCTTATGACAATGAAAATGTGGCATTAGCCGAGACTTATCCCAGTGTACTACGGAATTCAATCAATTCGCAAAGAATACAGTGTTCGTGTAGATAGTATTGGTATTTCTGTATCATTAAGATGGGGAATTTGCCTGTATTTTGTGGTCAGTAGATTCAAAAGAATATGGAGTCATATCTCACAGTAGTAGTTGCGTGTATTTGTACTAGAAAATCTAATTCTACGCGAGTTAATACTGTCACATACATCACTCCATAATCAACAAAAGTATCATAGCAGATACTTGTGTCAACAATGTTATTGGTGAGGATTTAAAGTGGGTTTTTATGCACATTGGTGGAGCGTACGGAGTGTATACTTACGTACCTCTAGTGTGATAGTGCATGTACATTCATATATAAACATATGTGCTTACGAATGTGCAGTTATTGCAAAATGGATCGGAATCGACATCTGCCATCCCATAATATTCTGAGATCTTTCCTGTTTGTAGAGAATTCAGAGGCACATCGTTGCGATTGGATTTTCTCTGGTTTTCAGTCGCAAATGGTCAAATGGCCACGTTGGTCCCTTATTTTATTCTTCAAGTCGGTGAAATTCATATTTACATTCCTTAAATAATGTGTCCAATAAGTTAAATATGATAAACAACAGGCCTTCGTACTGTCGTATTCCCACCCTTTCAGCCCGAGGGAGCCACTGGTATGAATGTTGCCCGCAACGCCGCTCCTTGAGCTGGGTTGCCCATAACAACCAGTGGTGCTACTATAAATAGATTCTGCAGTTCCGGATTGCAGGCCATTCCCATGGCTGCCCAGTCTGTGATTGATCAAGTGCCTATTGCTATTGGTGGAGGTGTTGAATCTATCTCTCTGGTCCAGAATTCTGTTGTTGGTGAGTAAGTCCGTTATGCATATCTCATATCGAGATGACTGTTGTGTTGGAATGTTACTATATCTATTGACATAGTATTCAGTCTTTTGCTGCCCATGTCTAGTTCGAGTGATATCTTCAGCGCGTGATAGGGATCATACATAACAACTACATAATTCAGCACACTTTGGTACCCAAGCATAGATATATGCAATCAGGCTTCTGTATGCCCAAAATATGGACGGCTGCTTCCGTCAGTATATGTGCTTACATTCACAGACCAACAATGAACGAATCAGCATATATAATTATCCATAAATATATATATATATATATCTATATATAATTCATCCTCACAGTCAAATGGTGGCTGAGCCCTGGATATTAGAGAAGTACCCAGGAATCTGGATGCCCATGATTCAAACTGCTGATATTGTCGGTGCACGTTACGGTATCTCGCGAGAGCGTTGTGACGAGTACAGTCTAACGAGTCAACAACGTACTGCCAAGGGACAGAAGGAAGGAAAGTTCGTTGACGAAATCGTTCCCATGACAACGACAATAAAAGTCAAGAACAAGGAGACCGGAGAGATCACAATGCAGGAGGTCACGCTGGACAGAGACGACTGCAACAATCTCAAAACAACTCTAGAAAGTAAGTGGTAAACATATATGTACATGTATATATATATGTCTATATAAGGGAATGTCATAGTCTTTAAACACCTTAAAATCGAATTCGCCCGACTGTCTTGTATTCGAATGTACATGCCCGGTATTCCCCCCCCCCAAAAAAAATACTGTACATGCATATATATTGTGTGAAAGCAGATTTGGCATTTCTGAAGGCCGCTTGTGCTGACGAACATCCGATAGCCTTCATAATTCGAGCTTCATTAGTGATGTATACAATCGAAGTGCCCTATCTGGTCCAGACTCAATTGCTATACTTGCTGATTCATCAAAGATATCACTTTCCAACGCTTAATACTTCATACCTACACATTTATATTTACAGGTCTACTAGCTTTAAAGCCCGTCCGTGGTGATGAGGATCCTACCGCTGGCGTCACAGCCGGTAACGCCAGTCAGTTGAGTGACGGTGCCAGTGCGTGTGTGGTCATGGAAGCCGGTGAGGCCGAGAGGCGTGGAGTTACACCTCTTGGTATCTTCAAGGTAATATATGTTTATGTTTATGTATATATATATGTGTGTGTGTCTGAATATATACATATATAAAGAATATAGATTCTTATACATGTACATGTGAGTTCTCGAGTGCGTACGTGACCTTTTATATATGTATATATATCAAAATACATATATGCATGAGTATATTCTTTTCTACTTGTGTGTGCTACAATAATCCTCAAATATATATCCAATTTCGCCGTTGCCGGATACTGGTGCGAGGAGGTAGGCAGCAGGGCCAGACCCGTCTTCATATGTTTATATACACCCACATGTATATTTATAATACTGGTCATAGACATTCGTTTACACACACTCACCGTAATATCATGCCCATTCCAATCTGTCAGGGTTTCGCCGTTGCCGGATGCTCGCCCGAGGAGATGAGCATCGGACCCGTCTTCGCCATTCCCTGCCTACTACAGCGCCACAGTCTAACCGTTGACGATATCGGCCTGTTCGAGCTCAACGAAGCCTTCGCTGTCGCCGATAAGCTCAATATCCCCATGGAGAAGCTCAACGTAAACGGAGGGTCCATTGGTATCGGTCACCCCTTCGGCATGAGTGGTTCACGTCTTACTGGGCATGCGATGATTGAGGGCAAGCGTCGCGGTGTTAAGCACGTGGTGGTGACCATGTGTGTGGGCGGCGGTATGGGTGCCGCTGGTCTATTCGAGGTAGTCCACTAAATTATACGGGACGAAAAATTGAATGTAAATTCATAGCCTTCTGAATTTGTTCAATTTAGAAGGCTATGGTAAATTAAATAAATATACTCGAAAATGTAGCAGAACATAATCTCATCACCAATCTTACGATTTGCGTTGTATGCGCATGCCTGTAGTATGTTTCAACCTCCTGCTTGGTGGATGGGGGTTTGCTGATTGAGCTCGTGTGTTGTTGTGTCTACTATATGTGCGGGTGGCAGTATGGGCACCTGGTCTATCGAATCTACTATGTAACACCTATTTATATGTGGAATTTGTGATAGTTTTTAATGAATGTTGCTCACGTTGCTTGTCATCCTTATACAGAATAACATGCTTGTATGTGTAATAAATAATAAAATGAATATGCATGATAGTGCTTTTTATCAGCTCTCTTGAACCCACTACCGTGGTAAATTTGTATGTAGGTGTGTATGTACATAGCCTTCTCAATTGACAAAGGCTATGGTAAATAAAGTACGCAAAACTTCAAATCCTAAAACATATAAGACTATGGAAAGCAATACACATAGGTCACAGCCTTCTTTTTGTATGATTCCGAAGAGGCTATGCAATACAGATAAAAAAAAAGTATTTACCGGCTTCAGCTCTGAGCTCTAAGCTCATCTCCCTTTTTGTGAGGAGCCGTGTTCAAACAAGTCATTTATATGTATATCCGGAAGTTCCGAACCCTCTACCCATGATGTCTCACGTCCTGCTGCGCTGGTATATCATCCCTCTCAGTTGCTAACCTCATGCTCACTTCAGAGTGTGGAGTATGTCTTGTGAACACAGGATGGACCAAAATAGGCACCGTGGCCAGGTCGCCCTCCAACGTCTGTGTGGTTATGAAATCAAGCACACGCATACAAACTCAGAAACATCCTCGTACACGGTTTGGACCCAGTAGGTCTTCAGCACGCTGTAGGGATGACTAGCTCACCAACTGTATACTATAATAAAAAATGCAGTAGCACTCCAACTTAGAATAGATCCTCGTGCACACTCCAGGGTTTTCTCAGTATAGCTCTGGCGTATTGTAGAGTGACGGAGTCATCAACAGTAGTCAATCCCTTCAACAGAGTCTGTGTGCTTATATGCTCAAACACCCTAACTTTTCCACTCTCCCTCTCTCGCACATTACTACTAGCAAGCTCATCACATATCGGACCTAAGCCAACTGCGACACAGTGATTAGCATCCAAGTACGATTGTTCGAATACCCAATCCAGTCTCTGCTCACCGTCCAGCTCAAACTTAGTTTCCATGGCAACCACACCCACACCCCACTCGTCGAAGGCACATGTTTTGTCCTGTGCGAACACCGCCTTCTGTAGATCCAAGTGTAAGCCCTCGCCTGTTGCCTTTATGTAGCTTTCTTTGAGTGTCCAGATGCGATAAAAGTGTTCTAATGGACAGTCTGATGACCTGATCTCGATCCATTCCTTTTTAGAGCATTGAGGGGACATGAGATCAAAGAAATCGTCTATATCTTCCTGTGCATCTAGACTCATGACGTCCACCCCGCACATCCTACCTATCTCCCCAGCGAGCACTGAGTATTCGCCATGGTGTGATACATTGTATTGCCAACCCGTGAGACACTCTATATTATTTGCTTCATCGGTATCGAAGGCTGTATCCAAACCTGTACGTGTGTGCAACGGCGTATTCGATTGGTACAATATGTTCAATACAGTAGGCTTGTTCCGCGCTGTTCGTCCGAGTTTAACCTCATTCCACGGTATATTTAAAGTCTCACATACTGCCTTTCGTAGTAACAAACGGCCCGTGAGTGCTAATATAGCATCTCTTCTGAACCGAAATCGACCTATACGTGTACACTCCTCCGGTTGAATGCTTTGTAAACACGTTAATAACTCGGTTTCACTTATATTCCATGTTTTGCAGTTGACTGCCCAGCGCAAGTGGTTTGGATGTGGCATACTTATAATCGGGATGAAACTACACTTTGCCTTCTGGAGTCTGGATGGAGTCTACTAAATTTACGATTTCCGCCGCCCAAAACAACTTGACATCGTAGGTCGTAGGATGTAGGATGTACCTAAATAAAATATTTCGAGGCCTGTCTTATCAGTAATATCACCCTCTCTACTCTACTCTAGCGAGAGGTTTATTCAGTTGTTGACTATGTATAGCTCTACTGATAGTAGAGAGGAGAGTAGTTCAGTAGACCCTGTGGCCTGTAGCTGTCAGACAGTGTCACAGTGAGTGTCAGTCTGTATCTGGTTTCTGTGTCATCGTGCCTGAGTCATCCAACATACTAACTGTTTGATTTTAGAAGGCTATGTTTATTTTGAATTATTTATTAGAATGATACCACACGAAAGAGACCTATTCCATCCGCTGTGTTTAATTTATTAGAAGGCTATGCTACTGCAGTGGTATATAAACATGCTGTAAAGTGTAAACAGGTAACATATGAGTATACTGCTTCCTATACTGATACAATCCAGGATGTCCGACTGTACTGAACACGTAGAACGTGAAGGGTCTGAAACAAACTCGCACACGGCACAGATAGTACAGGCCAGTTCTAATAGTACTGGCACCCAAGTGCAGCCTAATTCTGGTACTACAACAGTGGTTGACAGTAACCCTAGCACTAGGACACCAGAGACCTCGGATTGCTATGAACAACCACGTGCATGCGAAAGTCAGGCACCGATGGCTTTACAGGATAGTATATCAGATACACAACGTGAAATACATGACGATGGATTTGTCGATAGTACGCCAAGCATGCGCACAGTCACAAGTACATGCATACCTCAGACCCCAGCGCAGGCGCTACAGTGTGAAGTATCAGATGTACTCACTGGACAAGATGAAGACGTTCCGGATGAGACAGGGACAATACCCGACTCAAGCGAAAACAAGGAAGACTCTGTTAATGGAAAATCGATCAAGAACACTATCTCTGCCGCAACATCCACGTTTAGTCCGCATGTGTTGCGCCAGCAGATGAGCAACCTGTCTGCCACCATGTCCGATGGTCTATCGCAGGTGAGATGACATGTTCATAT